CGGCTCACCGCCGCTGTCTTGAACTTCTGCCCTTCCCTCTTTCCCCAGACATGCCCGCTGCTGCTGCGTGTCTTCACCACCAATAACGGCCGCCACCACCGAATGGACGAGTTCTCCCGCGGAAACGTGCCGTCTAGCGAGCTGCAGATCTACACCTGGTGAGGGCGGCGGGGGCGGGCTCAGGGACTCCCGTCGCGGACCTGCAGCATCGGCTACTTGCCTTCGCTAGCGGGGAGGTACCCGCCTTGATTTCAGTTTCTCTATTCCATTTGGGGCCTTTGGGCAGCTCCCAGAAACTTAGAGGTGTTTCTGTTAGTTAGGAGGTTATTTGCCCGTCTTGTAATGCATTTATAAGTGTTAAAACTTTGGGTTAAAATTTGACAGACCCAGGATTACTATCGCTGTTATGGCTGCCTGGTACAAAAACGATATGTAGATAATTAAAATGAGGCAGTTGCCCTTAAGTAACTCATAGTCGAATAAATGGTACTAGGATAATATGGTAACCGGGAATAATGCTGTTGTGTGGTATTTGTTACCCTCAAAGAGCATTTCCACTTAATATTAAGCCTTAAGTGCCATAGCACCAAAAATAAAAAATAAATCACCACCCCAAACCGAGTGATTTCTGCGGTAGAGCTTAATGGAAGATCTTTTGGTGTGTGTTGGCTGAAGTCTGGTGGATACCTCCCCTACCCGCAGGTGTGACTAGGACCGTTGCATGCTGCAAGCTTGTCTTTACTGCTACATGTAACTCCTTGGATTGACACCATAGTGGCTTTTTAGTAGCAGTAAAAGATGTGTAGGTTTTAAAAATATGTTTTTATTCTGGCAAAATATGTATAACATCAAATTTTCTTTTTTAACCATCTTTAAGTGTACAGTTTGGTGACATTTAATAACATTCGCATTGTTGTGCAACCACTATCTATTTCTAAAACCCTTTTATCATTTCTCCCCCCAACAGAAACCCTGTATTCATTAAGCAATAACTTCCTGCCTCCCCCAGCCCCTGGTAGTCTCGAATCTACTTTCTGTCTATATGAATTTGCATGTTTCATATAAGGGGACTGATGATATCTGTCATTTTGTGACTGGCGTATTTCACTTAGTATGTTTTCAGGGTTCATCCATGTTGTAGCATCTATCAGAATTTCCTTTTCAAGGCTAAGTAATCCATTGTATGTGTACCCCACATTATGTTTATTCATCTGCTGATGTACACTTGGGTTGTTTTGCCTTGTTGTTATTGTGAATGATGGTGTGCAAGTGTTTGCGTGCCTGCTTTCAGTTCTTTTGGGTATATACCTAGGAGTGGATTACTGGTCACATGGTAATTTTGTTTAATTTTTGGAGAAATTGCCAAACTTGCACAGCAGTTGCACGATTTTACATTACCAAAAAAGTGTGCAATTTCAAACTGTAAGCCCAGTATACTAGAACTCAGTTCTTTGAAGACTGGGATCTTTTTTTTTTTTGGAGGTGCTTGTTAAATTTATGTAGTAGCACAGTTCTTTTACTTCATCACTCAAGGGTAAAAGTTCCAGGAAGGTTGATTTAACTTATTGGGAAGAATTGTTCAGTAACGGCTTGATGAAAATCTCTTTTCAGAGATTAAAGTGTATTTCTTTCAACAAATAAGAGTTCCTATTTGCCAGATGCAGTGCTTATATCCTGAGGTTATAAAATAAACCCCTCCCTGTAGTGAGCTGGGTCTATCAGAAGGCAGATGAATAAATACTAAGATTTTAGGGTCAAGATGGCAGGGTAAGTTTGTTCCACAGACCTACGCCCAATCAAGAAAAAAAAAATTATAAAAACATTCTGTCCTAAACTGTCCTTTCCATAAATTGCAATCAGGCAAGGAAGGAACAACCTTAAGTTACATCCAAAATGATAGCCAAAGAAGGCAAAGATTCTGAAAGACTGGATGGTTGGTGTGGGGGTAGCACAGAGCCCTGCCCCCCACTCCCAGAAGCAGTAGTGAGGGAAGATTAAATCTTAAATTCTCAATTTGGAAAAGTAGACTGAGGGACTAAAGTAGGTAGGTAAATCAAGGAAAAAGGAGCAGAAGTCCACAGGAGC